GATTGCAAAAGCCTTTGTCTTCCTCCTCACCCTCTTACAGATTCCTTCTTCTTCAGCGTGGGTTAGAAGACTGTGGACACCTTGCCCTGGGGCTTTGACTTTACCTGTAAAGATATTGGGGGAGCCTTCAAATGGTGGGAGAGCGTCACTAACCAGGCTGTACCTCTGTGCTTCCGGGAGAGCCTCATAAAACCAATTCCTCGAAACATTTGCTCAAGAGTATTCCTTAGCAGTCAGGAATACGATGACGTACGTCTTATGGCCCCTTTATGGGTCCATAGATGCCACCTCCCTGTGTTCACTCCCCAACCTGACTAATACAATCTCGCCATCACTGTGACCTTTGTGCCACAAGACTAGCGAATGCCCTTCTGGCACTATTGGCCTCCCTGGCCTAACCGCTTTCACTCTTTCCGAGTCTTCCTCTGCCTCAGTATTGCTAGGGACCGCTTATGTACCCCATTCCTAGTTTCTTCCTATTCAAACCTAACTCAGTTGTCCAGTCTGCTCCCAGTGCTCCCTACCCCCAACTTTCCTATTTGTTTGTTTGACGCCAACAGCTTTTGTCTAGCTAATGTGCCATCCAGCTCAACCCTCTTCTTGCGACACCCCGGGCATTCTCTCAGGAATCAGAACTCAAAATAGTGGGACTGAGAGGTTTTGTTGTTGTTGATAAATATACATATATATTATATTTAATTATATATGTATAATAAATATATGTTATATATTAATTTTCCTATCTCACTAGGTCTCAGAAAAACCTAAAGAGATTTCAGATCAGCTAGGACACTTTCAGGAAAACCTTGATTCTTTGGCTGTTGTGGTCTCTGAATTGAAGAGTTCTAGATCCTCTGACTTGCTAACAGAGGGACCCGTGCCCTTCTCCAGGAACAAAGTCTTTTCTACAGCAACAAATCCAAACCGGTTCAAAATAAGACCCGAAGACTAGGGGACCTAGCTCAAAACATTCAATGCCAGACTTCCTTTTGTGAGGACAGGCTCTTGGCTCCTCCCATCCTGGCTCCTCCCATCCTGGCTCCTCCCCCATCATCCCTTTCCCCCTTACTATCCCCATTCTTCCTTCACCCTATCTCTTAAACGGTTTACATAAATTCCTCTCGGACTGAATCATGGCCCTCAACTTGGTCCAGCAGACAGGATGAAGTAAAAGCAACGCTTCTCTCAGAATCATTTCAGCCCCCAAACTGCCAAATGATGTATTTTCTTCCAGCCAGCTCCATGAGTGTCTGTAATAAAATCCCCACCAAAACCAGGGTCATAAAACAAGCCCCAAGGCATCAAGAACCAGGCTTCCCATAGAATTCTGGGAAGCAGCCAAAACCCAGCACATGCCCTGGAGCCTAGAAGCAAGGTTACTTTATAATAATTTGCTCTGCAGGTAATTATTCCAACCCCGTTGAAAGTGGACACTCATTCCCAGGAGAAGGTATGAATATATTCATGGGAGTTACACTCATATGACCTGTACACCTCCTAGTACTCTACCAGAACTGCACAACCTACACTAATAGACTGTGGAATTAAACAGCAACAGAAACTTTGATGGGAATAGACCATTTTCAAAGCATAGCAGTTAGTTATGAAGAATCCAGCTTCAGTTTGCTGCACAAAAGCTCTGGGTGTTGGGATTATAGCAGGCTAATGCCTTTCTTTTCTTTTCTTCCTTCCTTCCTTCCTTCCTTCTTTCCTCCCTTCCTTTCTTTCTCCTTTCATTAACATCTAACACATTTTTGAAATCTGCAACAATTCTAATATATAGTTATCACATGATCCGTTATTCCATTCTGAAGCACACACTCAAAGATTTGAAAATGGATCCTTAAAAAAATCAGTTTATGACGACATTATGAACAGTAAGCAAATGTAGCCAAAATGCTTGTCAATGGATGAACTGATAAATATGGCCAGTCTATAGAATAAAACACTATAATATTATAATCTTTATATATAAATTAGATATATGTAAGGATAACATTATAAATCAAAGACTTGTTATGACATGGATAAATCTTGAAAACATTATGCCAATTAAAGGGAGCCAGGTATGAGGTCACATGACTTTTGATTGTGCTTGCTTTTGATCACATGACTTTTGATTCTACTTACAAGGAAGATACAGAAAAGCTTTATTCATAGAGACCAGAAACTGATAATGGTTGCTTGTAAGTAGGGCAAGAAGGACATGTGGAGTGATGAAAATATTTTGGGACTAGATAGAGGTGACAATTACACAATACTGTGAGTGTCTTAAATGCCATTGGTATACTTTAAAATGCTAATTTTGTCTTTGAGAATTTCATTTCAGTAAGAAGAATAAACCAAAATCAAAACTAAATCTATTGATCTGGAGAAACAGAACTAGTTTTAGTACTAGGGACCAGAAAGAATACTCTTCTATGTGATAAAAGCATGAATGGTATCTTTGGTTATAATATTAGGTTCTAAAAATTCTATACAGAGTTTTTCAGTGAAAGCTGATGCCAAGTGTGTATAGGGCAGCCAATCATAAACGTCTCCCTCTGTCAGGTTTTCAGAACCCATGGAGCCCAGTAAGCTTGAGACAGTACTCCCTGTTAAGTATCTGGGTATGATTAAGTTACAGCTCCAAAGTTTGAAACTCAGCCAGTCTGGAAGCTGGAGTAAGGTGTACTGACGAAGAAGGAGCAAGGCACAGATGAGCAGCGACTGGGCTGAGGCAGGGGAGCTTCTCCTGTGGAAGTGAGGGTCTATTTAAACACCAAGACCAAGGGGAATTACAACCCCCATACAGTTCTCTATGATAAATCATGCCCCCAGCATCCTCAAAGGAAAGGGTTTTATTGTTGTTTGTTTTGTAGACCAAATGAGATCACATCTTCAAAACTTCTTGTAAAATAAAAATGTGCCTATTGGTAATAATTACCACTGCTTGTGCAGTAGTAACTAACATGTACGCATTGTACTCGGATGTTATTTTCACATGCTGTTGTGTATTATTTCATCATTCTTGTAACAATTCTTAAATCTTAGTTACTTGCCAAGTAGCGAAGGGAATGTTTAAAAGGATAAATTAAGATTCTGAGGGCCTAAGATTTGCTCTTGGGTATATAACTTTTAGAGACTTGAGACCTTTAGTTCCTGGTTCATTCAAAACCCAAAGTTTTCAAATGACCAACAACCGTGTTTCCTGAAGCCTCTGGTCTTCGTTAATTCATAACGTGATTAATATCTTGGGCAAAGTCTGAATCATTCTACTTCTGTCTGTGCAGCCGTATTTTGATTGTTGTTACACGGAATTCCCTGGAACCACACAACTGAAATACACACACACAGTGACCGAGTTTACTAACACTTACTGAGTGTACAGGATGCATCAGATCAGACATGGCATTGAGTATCACATGGACATTTAATCCCTAAGACAGTCATTTGTGAAGAATTCTTTGTTTACAGAAAGGAAGGCTCAGAAACATTCATTTACCGAAGTTCCAGATGGAAATATAAGTTGGTATTTAAAAGTCATGGCAGTTGACGTAGGACCAGTAGATACTGTATTATTACTTGACACCATGCTGAAATGAAATGTCTAACCATAGAAAGTTAAGGAAGGAAAGGTTTATTTTTGGCTTATCATTTGAGGCCAAAGTTCATGGCAGTCAAGGAATGAAGAAGGAACCTGAGGCAGCAACCACAGTCAGGGAGGAAGAGAAAGTTTGTGTGGTTTGTTTTCAGTCTTTTTGCTTTGTATCCAGTCTAGTATCCCAGGCCATTGGATGGTCCCACCCTGAGTTACTCAGGTATGTAATGGTATGTCTTCTCACATCCTTTAGACAAACACTGGTAACCCATAGACCGGCTTGTCTAGATGCTCATCTCCTAGGTGATGTTTACATCCAGTCAAGTTGACATTGTCAACCATCACAGAGCCTTGGGATTCCAACCTAATCAACCAGCACGGCGGAGAACAAATGTTGAACTGAGATGAAAAGTAGCAGAAAGGACAGGGCTGATATTCAGTTTTGTTAACTTCAAAGCTTCCAGAAGGACTCCTTTGCTAGACTGGGACATCGGTCCAGTTAAGTTTCTGGTCATTTATTTGAGTTTCCACTCCAAAACTTAGGGTAATAAATTTGGGTCATCCTAACCACTATGATAAGTGTGTGTCCGACACTCTTGGGATCCTGCTTAACAGTTACAGATTCAGGGACATTTGTGACATTTGTCTCAAGAAAAAGGGAAGTGGTCTTCCATATGATACGAAAAGCTTTGTTTTGAAGACTAGGTAAGATTTGCTAGAAATTAAGAATTGAGGTTATTAAGTATTTTTCTATGGGATTCTGGGTGTTGAAAAGTTATTATCTATGCCTTTGACTAGCCTATTCTGCATAGATGTTTTAAGCTATAGGGTAAAGCAACTCAGACAACAACTATTTTATGTTTCATACATTGCCTAGTAGCTTCTAGGGCTTAAGTACTCTTTTTTTTTGTTTGTTTTGGTTTTTTTTGTTGTTGTTGTTTTGTTTTTCGAGACAGGGTTCCTCTGTGTAACCCTGGCTGTCCTGGAACTCACTCTGTAGACCAGGCTGGCCTCGAACTCAGAAATCTGCCTGCCTCTGCCTCCCAAGTGCTGGGATTAAAGGCCTGCGCCACCACCGCCCCCGCTTAGGGCTTAAGTACTCAATGATACTAGCTATGTCAGGATTTAAGTAAAGGGGAAGCAGTCTTTATCAAAACTGGCAAGTTTCTCCCTTAGGATTCATCTGTGTTTTGTGAACAAGAGGGTAGGATTTCCAGTTATTATTTTTGTGGGGGGAGTGGGTTGGGGAAAGTTTATTGACCTCACCAGGCATTTTCCCCATGGCCCTAAATTTAATCTCATTCTATTGGTTTGCAGTTCACTACCTCGTTCAACAAATGTTTACTGTGTTTCTAGTGTTGAAAACAACAGACGGAAAGTTCCTCTGTACCGGGAGTTTACAGCCAAAGGGGCAATAAAATATTTCAAAATAAATAAAACATTTATTAAGTATTGTTTGGATAGGTGTTAGGCGAGTATTTGCATGGTGAGCTTGTCTTTCTTCAGTCAAAAGGAATCATATGATGGCTCCTTCATTTCTCCAAATGACGACTTTGACATATGATGACACATCACGACAGATGAGGTCATCATACTTAGAAAAGAAAACATGACAAAAAGTTATTTACCTACACCCAAGAGTAGCTATGTCTTCTGAAATAGGTACTGTGAACGATCTATTCCATTTCTCCCATAAGGAGAGCAGTCTCTCAAAAGGCACCGAGGGAATAGTCACTTTAATTAAAATAAATAAATAAATTTTTTAAAAAGTCAAACGGAAAGGCAAGATAAAAAAAAAAAAATGAACCTGAGAGTCAGACAGCAAACTTGCCGATCCAGGATGGCCCTCGGGGTCTCTCCACCGGTCCGAGGCTGGAAAGTGTCGCCGTGAACTTGAGGGTCAGAGCTCCTTTCCACGCCTGCACCGCGGTGGCAGGACCCCGGGGTGGGGAGGTCAAGGTGTGGTTGCGAAGCAGGCGGCGAGCCGATCGCGCTCGCAGGCGCGCGGCGGTGACAGGCGGGACAGCCGGGGCCGGCAGGGCGAGCGCGGTCACGCCGCGCCCGCGCCGCTCAGGTGGCGCCTTCCCGCTCAGGTGAGCTCCTCCCGCGCCTCCCATTGGCCGAGACGGGCCGCGGCGCTGGAAGGGCGACGCAGCCCGGTCTAGTTCAGGGTCTAGGGCGGCGCGTCACTTCCGGTAGCGCGGAGCTTGTAAAACACCCTGGAGAGAAAATGGCGGCGGCGACGGCGGCGGCGGCTTCGGCGCCTCAGCAGCTCACGGATGAGGAGCTTTTCTCTCAGCTCCGCCGTTACGGGTTGTCTCCGGGTCCCGTGACGGAGAGCACCCGGCCGGTCTACCTCAAGAAGCTGAAGAAGCTTCGCGAGGAAGAGCAGCAACAGCAGCAGCACCGGGCGGGGGGCCGCGGCACCAAGACGCGGAACAGTAATAACAATAACACGGCGGCCGCGGCGGGCGCAGCCGCGGCTCCGGCGACGCTGGCTCCGGCGGGGCTGGGGGGCCGACCGGGCTCGGGGGACCTCGCGTACTTACGGAGTCCCGCGGGCCTCGGCCGCCTGTCGGCCTCGGCTCCGGAGAGCCCCGTGGGAGGCTCCGGGGGCGCGGCGGCCGTCCCCGCGGCGGGCAGCAAAGTGCTGCTGGGCTTCAGCTCCGACGAGTCGGACGTGGAGGCCAGCCCGCGGGAGCCGGCGGGCGGCGGCGGCGGTGCGCGGAGAGACCGGGCTGCGCTCCAGTACCGCGGGCTCAAAGCGCCGCCGGCGCCCCTGGCCGCCGGCGAGGTGACGAGCGGCCACTTGGCCGAGCGGAGGAAGCCCCACTCGTGGTGGGGGGCGCGGAGGCCCGCGGGCCCCGAGTCGCAGCCCCCGACGGGGAGCGACGGAGCCGCGGAGGACGTGGACGAGGAGGTAGCGGACGGGGAGGACCGGGATCCCGAGGCCGAGGAGCCGCTGTGGGCCAGCCGAGCGGTGAACGGCAGCCGGCTTCTCCCCTATAGCTGCCGGGAGCACTACTCGGACTCGGAGGAGGAGGACGACGGCGACGTGGCCTCGGCCAGACAGGTATTAAAGGACGACTCCCTTTCCCGGCATCGACCCAGACGGAGCCATAGTAAGCCGTTCTCCGCGCTGACTGCTAAATCCGGCGGCAGCCGGCAGGAGACTTCGGTTCAGGGAGGAGGGGGAGGACTCGCGATGAATGACAGGGCGGCGGCCGCCGGGAGTCTAGACAGGAGCCGAAACCCGGAGGAGGCGGCGGCCGAGCCGGGGGGAGGAGGAGGAGGAGGAGGAGGAGGAGGAGGAGGAGGAGGAGGAGGAGGAGGAGGAGGAGGAGGAGGAGGGGGGTGCGATCAAGTGGACTCCATTCCTCGATACCGTGCCGGCGCGAAGAAGCTGCCCCCGCTCCTGTCGCCGCCGAGCAGCCCCGACGCGGATTCAACCTTGGAGTCGCCCACGGGGACCCTCCTCAAAACCAATAATCACATAGGCGGCGTGGCCTTCGGCGTGGATCCCCCCAGCGTGTATGCCAACAGCCTCCCTCCCGGGGCGGCCGCCCCCGGTTCACTCAGGATCAACCACGCCAACCACACCGGCTCCAATCACACCTACCTGAAAAACGCCTACGGCAAGCCGAAGCTCTGCGAGCCTGAAGAGGAACTTCTGCAGCAGTTCAAACGAGAGGAGGTGTCTCCGACGGGGAGTTTCAGTGCTCACTACCTGTCGATGTTCCTCCTAACTGCCGCCTGCTTGTTTTTCCTAATCTTGGGACTGACTTACCTAGGAATGAGAGGGACGGGAGTACCCGAGGACGGAGGACTCAGTAAGTATTAAGTAACCCCCCCCCCGCCCCCCCCGGAGGGCGGCCAGATGATCGTCGAAGGCAGCCAGCCTAGCGGTGACCTTGACCTGCAAGAAATTTACTTAACAGCGAAAATGTGGCAGGACCACGTGCCTCGTCTTCCTTTTGAGAAGCAGCGCTATTCCCGGTGTCAGAATGATGGCTTAGGGCTGGTTTTCAGGTTTTTCTGTATGGTTCAAATTTAAAACAACTCAGGAAGAAGACGACAACGACATTGCAAGCCTGTTAGTAAAAGGCGCTTGAATGTCTTAATTTCTTTTAGTTTTAAATAACAGCAGAGTCTTTTGTCCGTGAGTTTTGAAGTGTTGCCATTTTAAGGCAGCGCCATACATGCAGTGTTCTCTTTTTAAATGTGTTAGGATTCTAGAAGATAGTGTGCTGTTTCTTGACATTCTGGTACACAATATAGGTAGGTCTCTAAGTTCTTTAAAGAGAATGGATGTTAAAAAGGCAGCAGGCACACCTCCTCATTCACTTCCCAGCCCATTTCCACCCCTGAGGAAAGTCCTGGCCCCTTAGCAGAGGAACTTGGGAGTCAGACATGGTAAATGACTGTAGGCAGGCATGTGTATTCATTAAGCCAGCGTCTTCCTCCATACTGAGTAATCAAGACAGCAGTACTAGGTCAGACCATTCAGAACAGATAAGCATTGTGTGTCCTGTGAGGCCACAGGATCCAGTAATCAGTGTGAGCTATTTTAGATGATATGGTCGGGGCTACCTTTTGAGTGTTGTAGAGAGACAGAGCATTTCTGGACAAGAATCAGGAGAAGGGGAAGAACTCGAATGGAGCAGAAGACTTGATGTCGGTTGCAGTGGTCGGAATTTGTCTTCCTAATTGAGAAAACCATGCTACTATTGACTAGGATGAGGCCTAATCAAATAGGACATTTAGGGGACTGTTAAATTTCTTAGTGTTTCTTCCCATTTCCCCTGAAGATTTTTCTCCTAATACGAATTTACAGTATTATGATTTGTATTTATAAAGTTGTATTATATGTATTTTATTCCACAGTAATGGGACAGTGGGATACTGTTAGCAGACTGAGTAGTATGAGCTTTGGTTTCAGTATAACTAAGTCCAAGATAGTAAACAAATTACTACACTATTGTTTAATGACATGGGTTCCAAGAGCAGCCATCAGTTCTCTGGGAGCAAGTTGGTTCTCTGGGAGCAAGAGTGATCTACTGTGTCCTGCCTTAAATGATTGAGAGGGGAAATACACACACACACACACACACACACACACACTCACTCACTCATTCTCTCTTTCTCAAACTCAGTAGTTAAATGACAGAACCTGTTTTTGCCTCTGTTTTTCTGACCACTGTGTCATCTGTCTGGCAGTTATCTTAAACCTAAATGCTTTACATAGAGTGTCTTATTTAGTCTTGAACAATTCTCAGGGGAAAGTGTTACCTTCATTTTATGGACAGGATAATGAAACTGAAGTAAGTCAAGAAGTGTCCCATTGGTCAGGCGGGTTTCTGAGTTCCAGGACAGCCAGGGCTACACAGAGAAACCCTGTCTCGAAACACACACACACACACAAAATTTCAGATTTTTTTTCTAATGACAAAGCCCATTTTCTTAATATTTTCTGAATCTTTTGTAAAGTGTTATAGATAGGAGGATACCTTTATTGTGCTTAAACAAAGAATAGAACATTTGATAGGACTTCAAATGGAATTAGAAGTGACCCAAATTATTAGAGATCACTTTCATATCTGTTTTTCTTTTTTTTTTTTTGGTTTTTCGAAACAGGGTTTCTCTGTGTAGTTCTGGCTGTCCTGGAACTCACTCTGTAGACCAGGCTGGCCTCGAACTCAGAAATCCGCCTGCCTCTGCCTCCCAAGTGCTGGGATTAAAGGCGTGCGCCACCACTGCCCGGCTCATATCTGTTTTTCAATGTATGGTGGATGACTAATGTTTTGTTGTAGACTTAAATTTCAAGTGGAGCTGGATAGGATGCTGGATAGGCTGGTAGTTTCCTTTTCTTTTATAAAAAAAAAAAAAAAAAAAAGCAAAACCCTCCTTAGCTTCATTCATAAAGAACATGGAACTTGGACATCCTGAATGGAAACAAGGGATAGGATGACCAAGGGTTTGGTTGAAAGACTCAAACTCTTTAACTTCTGAGCCTCATTCTTCCATGCTGAGAGGTAGAAAGATTTGCCAACCTTGTAGTTGTGAGGACAGAAGGACATAATCTATTAAGCATGGGATGGTATTTATTTAGAAGTTCAAATAAAACTTGCTGTATTTCTGGTAATTTGTAGTATATATGTAATGGAATAATTAATGTAGCTGGGCAGTGGTGGCGCACACCTGTAGTCCCAGCACTTGGGAGCCAGAGGCAGGCGGATTTCTGAGTTCAAGGCCAGCCTGGTCTACAGAGTGAGTTCCAGGACAGCCAGGGCTGCACACAGAGAAACCCTGTCTCGAAAAATCAAAAAAAAAAAAAATAATGTAAATTATAGTTACGTTTTGTTTTTAAATCTCTTTAGCATTTAATTATCATCAGTTCCGTTAGATACACTGTGAACAGCTGACGCACAAGTTTGAGTCAAGGTGTAATGAATCAGTGATGCGCTGAACACAGTGTAAGCCATAGTAGAAAGAAGTTCCTGCTCAATCAGTTAGTCAGCTCACTTAACCGTTAGAGTTGTGAGAGTGAACACTTACACTCCCTGTATTCCGAATCTTTTGTTGTAATCTCTAGCTGTAGCGTTCAGTGATCAGTGCTATGTTCAAGTAATAATTTCACTAGAAGATTGTAGGTTATATATGACAGTAAGCTTTTATTAGTTACTGTTGAAATTATACAATGCATAATGGTCTTATATTTTTGGTTGTGAGCCAAGCCTTTAATGGCTGAGCCATCTCTCCAACCCTTATAATGGTCTTTTAAGTTTTTTTTAAGTAAAAAGTTCTTAGTTATTTTGGTCTGCAATTTTCTCATTAGGATCTTTTTATTAAATTACTTTTACTCATTAATTTCTTAGTTTGCTCTTATGTCTGCAGAATTAGGTGAAAAGTTAGATGATTTAAGCTTTTTCCAATTCCAAGGATTAGCATTCTAACTTTAAACTATTTTATCAGAACAACTCAAAGATTAACCTGCAACGAAATTGTCTTACAGGTGATTAAATCATGACAGCTCACTAAAAGGAAAGAGGAAACAGAATCGATTGCCTATTGTAGATTCATGGTTATTATTTAAAAATTATTCTTCAAGAGACATGTTTCTTGTAGACAATTTGAAGAGGAATGAAGCAAAATGAGTGTAATTATATATTCCCCTCTTTCTAACTTTGTACACATTCTTGTTATAACAGGAATATTAGCTCCTTTCAAAACCTTCCTCATATTTTTAACATATAGATATGTTGTTTTCATTTAAATGATATATATGTTTTATTTTTAAGTGCCTACCATGCTAAGAAGTTTTTAAAAAAGCATAGATGTGTGTTGAACAGTATGTGGATGTGTGGTAGATGAACTCCTCAGAACCTACATCCTAGAAAAAAGAGAAGAGTCTTTAGAGAGTGGAGAAGGGGACATAGCTTATGCTATACACAGGTAGGCAGCTTTCTGAGGAGGTGACACATGAACCAAGGTCAGAATTGCCTAGAGCGCTAGCCATTGACAGGAAGAACACTGTGGTGGCTAGAACTAGCTTGTGTGTTGAAGAGTCAGAAAGAATGGCCAGTGTTTTTGGGACTGCACGTGAGAGAAAATGGCACATGACAAAGTCAGTTGTGGCGTGGGTGAAGTCATGATGGAGGAAGGAGTCTGAATTTTAGTGATACTATGTATTAAGCAACGTGTATTCCACTTAAAGTTATATCATAGGTGTCCTTTCTATGTGCTGAGTTTAAGTGTAAGGGTGTATTTTAAGAATTTCTCTCACCACAGGTCTTTTTCTCACCCTGTAAATGTGTTAAATCTGCTCTCCTAAAAATGTTCACTTCCATATTCTGCTTTCCCGCTGCTCGCTTCTCAGTCGAGACTCACTCTCCTCCGCTGATCACGTGGTTTGGTCTGCTTTTTCTTCCTTCCCAGCAGTTCTGCTTAATCAGTCTTCAGTCTGATTAAGCCAGCTTCCAGCCAGCTAGCCAGTCTCCCTTTCTTGGTTAATGCAGGCATTGCATTTCCCTTGGAAATGTGCTCCAGTCCCCTAGCTTTCAGTCTCCAGTGTGCTTAGTTAAAGGTGTAGTCCTTGGACTTTGTCTTCCTGTTCCCTGGGGTGGGTGTTTCATTCATTCTTGGTCTTGCCTCTCAATTTGTATTCTCATAAATGTTCCTTGAGTGTACAACTTTCGGATGTGCCAAGTCCCATCCCCATCTGCCACCTTCTGTACTGCCATCCTATTTTTGCCCCTCTCTTCTCTGGTGTGATAGTGATGCTTCCATGTTTAACCTGAGCTCAAGAGAGAGAGACATGAGTTTGCCTAGAGTCCTTCCTTTCTTTCACCTTACCATATTCCGTCCTGTTGGTATTTTGATGTTCAGTAGCTCTTCTTTGTTTTCTTTGACTCAGTCTTTTGTTTTTTCAAGACAAGGTTTCCTCTCTGTAACCCTGACTGTCTTGGAACTTGCTCTATAGCCTAGGCTGGTCTTTAACTCAGAGATTCCCCCTGCCTCTGCCTCCAGAGTGCAGGATCAAAGGTGTGTGCCATTGCTGCCTGGTTCAGTCTTTGTTTCTCTCACTTCTGTATTTAGATTAGCTTTTTGCCCAAGCTCTTTCTAGCCAAAAGGTCTCTACTTCTGGGCAGTAGCCTTTCCAATGCCATCTCTGTGCTAGAGAAGTATTCTAAAGCATACATAAAATTAGTTTCTCTTGGTTCAGACTACCCAGAGACTTTCTTTTACTGGTCAAATTTAAATTTGATTCCATTGTCCTGAGATCATGCTTGCCCTGTCTACCCTTACTTCCTACCAGACATTGAGTGTGTAG